CATTCTTAATGCCAAGATTTGGAACCATGCTCTTCTCTCTCGAACACTATGGGATGTCCATAGGAAGAAAGACACCCTTTGGGTGAGGTGGGTAAATGGGGTTTACCTCAATGGTAGGAGCGTGTGGGATTTTATCCCACACAATCGTGACTCAATGTTCATGAAGAAATTGAGTCACATACGGGACCAAATTTTGGGGTGTTTTAACAATTTGAATGATACCATTATGGGCCTAAATAGTAGATCCATAAATGGTAAACTCCGTTCCGGGAAGATTTATGAATTGTTGAGAATTAAAGGGACGCCTAGAGTGTGGATGAGTTTCATTTGGAAGTCTTATATCCCTCCGAAGTTTTCATTCAATGTCTGGCTTGCTATGAGGAACCGGTTACCTACACAAGATAACCTCGGTTACCTATATATTGTTAATCGTTGTGACCTGTGCAAGGGTGGATTGGAAACAATGCCACACCTATTTTTTCGTTGTCATTACACTTGTAGGGTCTGGGAAAAAATTAAGGAATGGTTGGGCATGACTCGAGAGATGACCACGCTATGTAGCGCCGTCAAATGGATCTTGAAGGATCATAAAGGATCAAAGATCAAAGGGAAGGCTGTCCGGATTGCGTTTGGTGCCGCGGTTTACTACCTTTGGCATGCTAGGAATGCCAACCGATTTGATGAGGGGGACGTCAAGGAAGAGGAAGTCATTGCAAAAATCAAGCATGTGGTGTATAAAATACTTTTCAAGTTATACCCACATGACTTAATTACGTTCTGAGCAGAACGCCGCGGCGTGGATATTATGGATGCCGAGGTTTTGGATAGACCGCTACATGTTTGTTTGGTGTGTCGAGGCATGGATATTATGGATGCCGCGGCTTGGGCACTTGGTACACCGTGGCATGGACATTATGGATGCCGCGGCATGAAGCATGGTCTTGGACTTTATGGTGTTTGATTTAGCAACACCTTTTGTACTTTGTTTACAATTTAGCCTCTGATCTGTGTGCGTACATGGGCAGCACCGTTGTATTTTTTTGAACATCTTGATGGGCCAAGTACTATACTTGGTTTTTTTGACATAGATTAGATCAAATAAAAACCTCCTTCACCCTCACAATATGTGGGGGTGGGGGAGGTTTTAGGAGATCTAGGATATGTGATGTATAGTTTTTCTGGGTGTTAATATATATTTACATTTCATCCAAAAAAAAAAAAACAAACAGCAGGTATTCTGAAAATTGGTCCACTGTTAGAACATTGAGGCCTCTAATAATGTACTCGTATAACTATATTGGCTATCGTGAATTCATGATTACATAATTAAATACGATAGTATATACGATAGTACTCCGTATATATTTTATATACTTCGTAATATAAACATGAAGACGTGTTTAATTAATGTTTGGACCTCTTTGGTACAATCAGGGGCGGAGCCAGACTTTAGTACTAAGGGGGGCAAAATACAACATGTATTGAAAAATTATATATAAAATATGTAGTATATTTTATTAAAGAAATCAGCAATTTGTTTTTTGAAGAACAAAAACTACTTGAAAAACAGTTCAAATCATCATTTATATTAACTTCAGTCAATTTATCCAAAAAAAAAACTCCAATTGTACTTATATTGATTTATTACACACTTCAGTGTGCAAATAAAAATTTAAGTTTTTTATATTAAAAAATTGGATGGCCTGGTAAGACTTAAAACTACTACCTCCGTACCGGTAGACTTTGCCAAGTGCAAAGTAGAAATAAAAAAAATAAAAATTGTGTGGTTGAGGTTGGTGCAGAGGAGAGAGAAATGAGCAGAACCACAAATTAGTTACTGTAATATGAAAGTGGCAAAGTTTTTTGGGACAACAAAAAAGGGAAATTTGGCAAAGTCCAATGGGACGGAGGGAGTAATAAATTTTTACATATACGGCCGTTATTAATTAGGTGTCAAACTTAGAACATTTAAACAATAATGGTTATCTAAAAAACAAACTAGCTAAGAAAAAATATAATGGCTTCTCCTAAGTTGCGCTGCATGTGCCACTAGAAGTAATGCCGGCCTTCGATAATGAGAAGAACTTCGTTTCCTATGGGCTATGGTGGAATACTAGGGCCTATATATATATGGGAGGGGGGCAAAAATAATTGTCATATATAGTAATGTAAAAAAACAAGATTTGGGGGGGGGGGGGGGGGGGGGGGCAATGGCCCCTTACCCATCAACGTACCTCCGTCCCTGGGTACAATCATGTGTTGATAATTTTTTTATTTTTATTAAATAAAAACGGATTAAGTAGTTGCAGTAGTAATATTAACAATGCAAAATGTGTGAAACATATACTTCGTACGTTGTATTAAAAGTATTAATAAACAAAACAAATTAATTGATGTCTTTAAAAGTAATTTAACAATTTATCAGTCGATTGTGAACAACCGTCTAACTAAACAATATTTATAAACAGCTAATATTATCAGCTAATCAAAGCAGCCAACAAAATCTGATGTTATCAATCAGCCAACGGCCAATTGCCAAACACCCCCTTAATCTCGGTCAAGGTTACTAATTATTGAAAGATTAATTAATAAATGGAGCCAAGCAATTTACGGAAAGACAAATCATGTCCATATATTCAGCACCGCACTCGCTCTACACGTCTACGCCATAAATATATTGTCATATTGAAAAGAATCTGCCCACCATAAAAGGAAACATAATTAAACGAAAAGGACTGTCCGATGGTTCACTATACATACGTTCCCATACTAATTGTTTAGATTATTTAGAGAATAATTTGATGACATGGATGATTATTTTAAGATTATGATTGAAAGAGTGGAATTATTTGTAAAGATTATTTTAGAAAATAATCTAGTATCAAATATTGAATCCGGATTATTTTTAATGATATCTCCAACAAATATGGAAAATTGGGTGAGCCGTCTATGTTTTTCCTTTTATGAAAAGAAGCTTAGCCTGGAATATATTTAAATGGTAAGACAATTACTGGCTACTCCGTATGTTACTTACTATATGTAAATTATAAAAAAAAAACTTATTCAAGTGGCAAATAGCATTCCGTGTGTTTGTAGGATAGAGAGCATTTTAATGCATTTATGCAAAAATCACAATAATCTAAGTCTCTAAGATCATGGTTGAGAGCAATTTTACAATATTTGATATTATTAAAATTTTACATGTGGCAATGATGTGGCACAAAAAACCTGTTTATTTGAATATCATCAATGGAGATGCTCTAAAGAAACAAAAATATTAGTATTGATTAATTAAAAAATGTACGGAGCATTAATTAAATCTACTTGGAGAAAATACTTCACACCAAAAAGTACTCCATATCAAATGTTGTATATGGACCTTAATTCAATGGAGTAATAGTAATACATCAATTCAGTGTTTTTTTTTTCAATTCAATGTATAGTACACATAAATCAATTAAATGTTTATTTACTAAAATTTATAAGCATTAAATCTTGAGAACATATATAAGAGGAAAAAACGTAGTGCAGTCATATGGTAAGAGCTTCATAATCAACTTTCTAACATATGAGTGAGCGTGAGTATTGATATATCCGATCATCACAAATGAATGGAAAATAATCAAATATTACTCCGTACTATTCATTTATTAGTCAAGCTAGACTCAATGATTCATTTGTCAATTGAGAAATATTGTTATTGTTATTTTTGTCATTGCCGTTGTTGGTTTTGTATTAACTAGATTCTCACCCGCGCGATGCGCGGGATATTAAAATGTAATAGCGATAAGATTATATTTGTAAATAGCAATTGATCGTGTGAAATGAATGGAAATTGTCATTGCCGTAACATGCATAATAAATTAGAATTAAAGAACTTATAGTGAAAACTCATAGATAGGTAGTAAGTATGTTTTGAAATAAGTAGAAATAACGAAATGTTATATAAACTACATTGGTGGTATGGTCAGTTGGCTGATCATTTTCACCGCATTCAATATCTTCAAACCCTTAGGATTTATTATCCTTGACATTGTAACATACAGTTGACCATGCGTGAAGATCGACGTTTTCAATAAGACAAAGTTTGTCCTTGACTCTTATTTATAGTCATCGCATAAGAGGTCATGACTGAAAATTGTCTTCTCTGAAACTTGAACGGTATTCTTGAATCCAAATGAGTTATGCTTAACCTTGAAATGACAACTTCATGCCCGACATATTTTCCGCCCATAATTTTTGCCCCTGGGATGTGATTTCTAAGTCGTGTAACAATTACCATTTATTGCAAAGCCCCATTGAAAGATCAATATTATTTAAAAGCAATATGACTATGGTTCCTTAAAAGCATTATTGGAGTTCTTTTAGCCCCTCTCAACATGAATTGTTATTATCTTCTTTAATGTTTTGTGTAATTCAACTTTTACAAATCAAACTGGGACGGGTGAAGTACTCGTTAACTAATCCCACAAAATTATTTACTATTACAGTCTTGAAAGTTTAAAAAATCACATATTCACCCATAATTTATAATCCCTCCGCCCTAAAAGTCAATTTTGACCAATAATACTTTTTAATACAAAGTTATTTTAAATATGAAAATTATAACAAAATATTCATTTCAAATCATTTTCATAAAAATATAAAATTTATAAATCATATACAAACATAATACGGAGTAACTAAAATCGTTTTCCAAACTTTTTAATTATTGATCAAGAGAAGTCTATATGACAAACCTTTTCAAGAGTAGTATTAAATTTTTTTCTCCACAACTATAGTTTCTTGTCCATAACTTGTATTTTAGCCCAAGCATAGATAATTACTTTTTTAGATCCATCATAAATCAATACCTTATACCCGAGTAATTTTTATTTTTATTTTTTCATCTTAAGGATATTTTTTTCAACACCCCAAAATTACCTAATGTACTACGGAGTATTGATTTTAGTTAAACCCATTGGAGAAGTCCAACATTTAGGGAAATCTAGGGAGTATTATTTTAACCTCAGCCCAAAATAAGTAACCTAGGTGTACAGGCAAATCTAGGGAAATCTTTCACCTTCTGCATCCCAATCCTCAATTCATCCATACTCAACACCACCTCAAACTCGCAGGTTGGCTATCGCCACTTTACTGGCCTTGAAACCGTTCATCTTCCACACCACCCCAACGGCCTCGGCCAATTTCTCGAACCGTAAACTCCCCACCCTCCGACGATATCACCCGGCCTCATCCCACCGCTGATTCAACACTTCCAGCGACGACATGGAGATCTGCACAAATATGAAAACATCGAAGCTCTTAGAAGGACTGTTCATTGCCTCCTTGGGATCTCCAGATGCGTAAGTGCTTGCTTGTATTTTGTTATTGTTATATATTTTATCTATATTTTATTCCATCTACTCTAAAGTCTGTGTAATTGTTAATTACATCCTAATTCCTAATTTTAGTTTTTTTTTAGCGTGAATCCTCGCAAATGAATCAATTTATATTTTAAGTCGAATGTATCCTTATTAAGAAGAATTTCGCAGCAAATAAAAGTTAAGTTAACATTGAGTTTGGATGCTTAAATCAAGTTTAATATATTGTGATAAGGACCCTGATTATTAGAATTTCATGGTTCATAGAAGATTTTAAGCTCCTTTTTAACATTATTCAGAGCACTTCCTAGTCTCAAATCTGTGAGTCCTTTTTGTCCATTATCGGTTCCAACTGACCAACATGACACATTTATGGTTGATTTCAGAACAAATTAATGTAAGCAAGGCTATTAGTTTTTGAGAGCTTATTATTAGTGAGGATTCTAGTACATGTAAAATTAAATCCAATGCATAACATTTGAGAAATCTTTACTCAACTTGTCCTTAATCATGCTTAACTAAAATCATTCCATTAATCATATATTCATAAAATTATTTAGAAACAATCTGATTTTTTTTATTGAAACTCTTGTTAAAAACTGTTGTCGTTAATAACCTTGAATGGGCTGACACTGATGTAAATCTCTTTCAGTTTTTCAGTTTTATTCTATATGAAGTGTAATTTGAATGCATTTGCGGTGATTTGAATGACATATCATCCCAGGTCAATCTTGAAATTAGTAACATAACATGCAAGCCCCTGTGTATTATAAATCACTGAAATTTGTCATTTGAAGTATTTATGTATAAAGAGCTCTGTAAGCTTAATCTCATATTGTTGAGTATATTTTAGTTCTGAAACCTCCAGAACTAAGTATATTGAGTACAGATCAACAATATTTACATAAATGTTGAGTATATTTTAGTTCTGAAACAGATCAACAATATTTTGAATGTATTTATAGGGGTAGAATGGAGTGTCTTCCAAAAGTAGATTGGTTTTTAACCAATGGTCCATTGAACCTAAATCTTTACTAAAGATTTTGTAGTACAAACATTAAATGAGCTCAACAATACATTGAACTTCTTATGAGAGCTTTGATTACACATCTCCATTTACTTAAACCATGCGGATATGTAAATGACATTAAAGGATTTTGTAGTACAAACCAATTAATTCCACATGACATAGGCCCTTTTTTTAATATTAAAATTGTCCTCTACATATCCTTTTTATTGAGCCTCACACATGCTTTATTGGGTGCAGGGCTTTGCATTTAATGCTGTAAAATTACAGCCACAGAAGCTGTAAACCCATTACAACCGACCTAGCTTCCCAGTTTTAACAACCCAGCTGTCACCAAAGCTTTGAAGACCCAACCCGCTAAAGATCCAACCCGACCCACTGAAGACCCGACCGACCCGTGGATGTGATGTTTTTGAGCGGGGATACTGCTCACATTTTCCTCCTGCTTTTGTATGATAGAAGAATAGAAGATAGAAGATATGCGAAGTAGTATAATCCGTACACAATCCAAGAGACTCTTCGGTTACAATCTGCCACCATCCAGAACACTCCCTTCTCTCCTCGTCGTTTCCCAATCTGCCACCATCTGGATCTTCCTCCTCACACCGTTCAATCCACCTCTTCAGGTGTCATGTATAGCGTACAGTTACAACAGTTTGGAATCCACGGCTGCTCCGACCTTTTCAATTAAACGCTTACGCGTCCGCCTCTCTGTCGGTATTTGGTACATATCTTTTAAATCTTTTAAATTTTACAAAACCTCGTCCTCAATTTCATTTTCAAAGTGCTGCTAACGTCAAGTTTTCCATGTCAATTGATTACCAATGTTCAAGCTTTTTGTATAAACATGCAATGTGTTAAACGGTTTGAGCTATGTGTTAAACATGCAATGTCTTGATTGTCTTCATCTGACCTTCTCTCTGTCATATGGTCGAGTGTGTTTGGGGACTGAATAAGGTGCCCTATTATGCACCTATTATTGGTATGAGTATGCATTTAATTATAAATTAGTTTATAATAGGGAGTGCAAGGTTCTATTCGGCACACCTTAAGCCTCATATATGACTAATCTTTTAATATTCAAATTATTTCATTTAAACTTACTATTCACATTGAAATATGATAAACTGCAGCTAGTTACTTAACAAATGTAGTTAGTTTTGAATGCATGCCCTAAATTTTACTATTTTTTTTAACGGAAGAACGATGCTAGAAACTGACTTATGTTTGATACACCATTTTTGATTTCTTAAGTATGTTTGTTTGATTGTCTTAATAAATACACCAAAAAGTTAAATACCAAATAATAATTATATTATAACTATAACACTAAATATAATAACATTGTGTATTTTCCATTCACTAATGTTGAACTTCTACCCCATATGATATTCCAAAAGAAATCAGATCTACCTATTATGTATTTGAACTTTTCCTTTAGGCATTGCTATTATTGAATGTTGATTATGCTGCAGCCTCTTGCTTTAAGTGTTTCACCATAATATCTGCAAAAATACATACAAAATATGAAATACAAACAAACTTAAAAGTAACTGTAATAACAATTGATCGTATGGATCTGGACTCACCAATTAGTAGATTGTCATTGATTACTTGTTAATGCATATTTATATTCTCCCATCCCATTCAAGTGAATATTAGCCTCAGACAAACATAACTTCGAAGACCAGCAATGACTACATCTTTTTTTATGTGCTCTTGCTAATCTTAATCCTCCTTATTTATAGCAGATTCGAATTATGTATCCTTGTGGCTTGTCTTGTATATCCAAAGTATAATATCCAAAGTATAATAATCTGCATAAAGATAGTATGATTGGACACTCCTTGGTATTGTGCATTTAATACTTGTACTTTGATCTAGAGATAAAAAAGAGAAATTGTTTAAATTGATGTGAGCAGTTCGACACTTATGGAAAAGGGAGCAACAGTTCGGCATTTACTGGAAAAGTGGACGGCGTATTATAATACTTGTACTATAGTTCTTTTATTTAATCCAAAAGTGTACTATAGTGGAATACTTTTTGAAGCCATTTAATGAGAATTGATTTCATCCAGACGGAATGTATTTCTTCAAGACACTGAGTCAACAATAGTGGACGGCTTGTAGATTACAGAGTATTTTACACTTTCCAATGCAATTCTTCAAGTTAAATGGTTTGACCTGGATGACCCATTTTTTGACCCGGTTTTTGGGCGGGAATACTGTTCACTTTTCATTTTGCTTTTGTATAATAGAAGATAATAGACCTTTAAAGTGGACGGACTTTTAGATGCACCCTTCAATTCTTCATCTGCTTTTTCCAAAAGGACATGTCTGTATGGATATGATATAGTAAATATATAAAGTAATTAAGAATTATTGAAGCAAAATAGCATTCAGATTTAATTTATTATTTCATCAGTCAATCAAACATGACAAAGTTAAAAGGATGAAGGGAGCATGCACCATCACATCTTCTTACGGCGCACGTGACAGGATAAACATAAACACATAAATATTAGTGTGCAAAATATGTATCTCCTTATTTGAATGGTCTTATATGTTTTTTATAAGTCTTATTCCACAATGTCAAGAAAATTGTCTAGATTGATATTTTTTTGAAAGGAGAAACGTGTCTAGATATGGACATTGTGATTGACATTGTTGAAAACAAGTTACTAAAATGACATAAGATCGTGAAAAGAAAGAGAGAAAAATATTATTGATTTGTTTTTATGTCCTTATCTCTCTCATGTTACATGTTCATCACCATGCACATTGTTGAAATGCACCATGAACATTTTTGGGAGGGGTTAAGGATAATGACCACACGGCTATACTAGACTTGGTTGACTTCAAAGTTGGTGCTTTCCCTGTCAAATACATTGGGATCCCCCTATCCCCTCTTAAACTTTCGGTGGCACAATATGCCCCTCTTTTGGAAAAGGTTTCAAACTATCTCAACTCTTGGAATACTAAAACCCTTTCATATATAGGTAGGACTGATTAAATCTGTTATTCAATGTGTGCACTCTTTTTTGTTATAAGTGTTTCTTATACCTCAAGCTATTCTTGATGGGGTGACTGCCCTATGTCGTATATTTTTTTGGGGGTGCAAATTTGCTAGGGTGGCTTGGGCAGATATGTGCCTCCAAAAGAGAAAGGTGGTTTGGGTATTAGACACACCAAAATTTGGAATAATGCTTTGTTATCTAAAACTCTTTGGGATATTCACTTAAAGAGAGACACTCTGGGTGAAACGAGTAGTGTGCATTTACTTATATTGAACGTACTTTATTTTAAAGGTTATGTAAAAGTTATTAATATTGAAAGAATATTTATGATTGGTTTTGCTTTTAAGAGTGTGATATCTTAAAAGATTATATGAAAAGTAACAAATAATAAAAATGAGTCATTGTAAAGAACAGTTCTGTTGAGGTTTATTCCTTCAACCCGTGGACCCAACACGTAAGCCCAAAGGTTTCGAGTGGAGTGAGTGTATGAATGTCTAGCCCAACAACTATTAGATGAATCAGGAAACAAGAGTAATAGCAGGCAATGTAAATAGGTATTATTAACTCCGTAATAACTCCCCTAAATACAATCTACTCGCTAAAAAAGGCACGTCGGCCGTTCGTCTTACAAGGCAGTTAGAAATGCTGCGAGTAAGAATGCTGAAGCTAGTATGCTAAGAATAGGAAGTTGCCAACCCTTTACAATGGAATAAATGCTTCTATTTATACCCGCCAATGGGCAGGTGGCTGTAGTGACGTGGCAGCCTGTGGACCGCTGGTGTCCCAACTACCAAATCTTTAGCATTAAATGCACTTCCCGCCAGAATCTAGGTTTCCCGCCGGATTAGTGGGGACGTTCGTCCACCGGGAAGTGAGTTGGATTGCTCCAAGGGACCCTTGGGAGATATCGGCTGTTCGTCTCCTGGCCTTGATGGATACTCACCATGTGGACTGGGGTCCCCCGATGACCGCAGGCTTGCTCTGTGGACGTTCGTCGCCATCCCTGGTGGCCCGTGGTTCTGCTCCTTGTCCCTGCATAGACGTTCGTCGGGATGAGCTGCTGGGCCTGAGTCCTCCAACACCAGACGTTCGTCCATCCTCAGGGAACATGGGCCTGTGGGCTGGCCTAGTGTCCTAACTGGACGTTCGTCTGGCAAGATGGGTTAGTGGGCCGGACCTCGGCTTGGGCCCTTAACCCAACACAAGTCCCCCACTTCTGATGTTCTGAGCATGCGCAGGACATAAGGAAGTATGAACCTCCCCGGAGTAGACGTCCGTATCTTGGTACTTGTGTTTCTTGCACCTGGTGGAAGCGTACGTTCGTGGTCATGGTGCTTGACAGCTGTTGACGGTTCAGGAAACGAGGTGACGGCTGATGTTGCGGCGGCGCATTTTCCCGAGGAAGTGTCATCATTACGTTCCCATCCCACGCACAGCGCGTGGGCCGGAATACGCTCCTTGCCACGTGTCAGCCCCTCATTGGTTTCTTCATCGGTGCTTCTCCTATAAATGTTGGGTTTTCCCTCTGAATTAGGGTTCCCAATTTCTGCTCTCTTGCTCTCGACTTCCCGCAGCTCTTCAAGTTTTCTGAATTCGGCTAACCCTTTCGTAAGGTAATTCCCCCCCTCTGCTTCTTTTCCTTACTCTGACTTCTAGTTGGGATGACTTCGATGGAGATTTCCTCAAGTTCCGGTTCCAGTTCGACGGGTTCCTCCTCGGACTCCTCTTCTGAAAATGCGAATGCACGCTCCCTGGGAAAAACTAGTGTTTCCGGAACCTCGGGTTCGGCCACGACGGTGGGGACCATCCGGGCTGATGGAGAGCCGGGTGATGTGTCTCAAGATAGTGGGAGCGACGCCGGGGACGGGGGTGCTGACGGGGCAGTAGATGTTATTGATGCAGTCCCCCTGAACGAGCGTCCTGCTGATTATGATTCCGGAGAGGAAGCTGAATCTGGTTCTGATGTGGAGGTGTACGATCTGGGCATCCCCACGGATATGGAGCGCCACATCTGCCCGATCAGGAGTGCACTTGACCATGACCAAGTCCTCTCCCGCGTGGCCCTCAATAAAGTCCGTACCTTCCTTCCCCCGCCGTTCGTCTGGAGTGTGAGAGGTGCTGAGCATGTGATGAGAAGACGTCCGGGGATGATCATGCTCCATTTGGACTCTGTTGAAGCCGGGCTGCGGTTCCCGCTCCATCCGTTCTATGTGGAATTCTTCCACTGCTTCCAGGTGGCCCCGGCGCAATTCATGCCAAATTCTTACAGATTCATATCGGCCTTCTTGGTGCGCTGCAAACTTGCGGGGGTCGATGCCACTCTGGAGCTCTTCCATTATTTCTACCGCGTCACTCCTCAGAACGCCGACGGGTATCTGAGCGTGGCCGCACGTCCTGGGAGGCGGCTGTTCAAGAACTACCCTTCGTCCATCCACGACTGGAAGAACCGTTTTTTCTTCCTTCGATACGACGGGCCTCCTCTCCCTCTCCGGTGGAATGGGTACCCCCCAAAGATTGAGTCACCAGAGCCGTCCGACGATCTGCTTTTGGATGCGGAGAAGGTGTTGGAGGGTGGCGTCCGTCCTATAGCCGGATTTCTGACCTTCGAGGCACTCTCTGGGGCAGGCATAGGTACCGCCCGTGTCCCTGGACTTTTTCTACCCTTCGGCGCTCGTCTCGGGGCACCGGGCGGTCCTGTCCTTCGAGGTGAGTGTCCTATTCTACTTCCCGTTCGTCTTCTGACCCTTTGTTGTTTCTTGCAGGTTCACCACCCGATAGAGACCAGATGAATCATGCCGAGTGTCTGAAGACGAGAAAGGCCAAGGCGGCCGCTGCTAAAGCCGCACTGGCGAAAGCCAAGAATGCCCCCGCCTCGGAGTCCAACTCCTCGGCTTCTGATGCTGCCCCGGCGAACTGCCGAGGGGGAGCAACACCTGATTGCCACTATGCTGGCTCAGGGTTCTGGGGCCCCTGTTCTCGAAGCCGCCCTCCCGCCGCCGGTCGTCCCCACGAAGACGGCTCCTCAGAAGGGGACAGAGAAGGTCCCCGAAAAGAAACAGAAGCGGGGTCGGGAGGCAGGCTCCACTGGCCCCCTGCTTGAAGATGCCGGGTCCCTGCCCTTGAGCCGCCCGGCGGAAGAACTCTGGAGGGAGATGGCCCTCAAGGCCGGTCTCGAGCTGCCCCGCCGTTCGTCGTCTGAGGCGACAAGCGCTGCCCTGGCAGCCGCTCTTCAGGTAATTCCTCCTTGCTAGGCCTGAGTATACATATTTTTTCCTTGGCGTTCATCCTCTGATCCTTATCTTTTCTCCTGTCATCCAGTCTGGGCTCCTCGTCCTCCAAGCTGAAGCTGCCCGGGAAGCCGACCTGAAGGAGGCCAAGGCTAAAGCCGACGCGGCCATTGCTGCGGCTCGGGAGGCCGCTCGTCGAGCGGAGGCGGAGGCGGCTGCCAAGGAGAAGGAGATTGCCGCCCTGCGGGCAGAGTCCCGCCAGCAGCTGGCCAGCCTTGAGAAAGCTGGCTTCAAGCTTGTCCCGGTGCACCCTACTGCAAAGGATGTTAGTCCGGAGTGGCTGGTCGATACCTCCGGCTATCGGAACACCGGGGAGTTCATGGATTCCGCCAAGGATTACTGCGCCGGAGCCTTCGGTGACGTTTTCTCTGCGGCGCTGGAGAAGATCCCACCCCGGCAGCGTCTGGCGAGCGGGGTCCGGATTCTGGAGAGCTCCCCCTTGTCTCACAAGTTCCTCTACGAGGTCGGCGACAGCTCCTTCGCCGCTGGTTATAACGAGGGGGTCAAGGCCACCCTTCCCATCTTCTCAAGGCTGCAGGGGGCCGACTTCGAGCTTGCTGCCAATACGGATGATGATCTGCTGCTCCAAGCCTTGGGGAAGTTGGGGAGAGACCAACGGCGGGAGGAAGCCAAGGCTAGAGGGGAAATCCCGGAACCCCCGTCCCCCGAGCCCGAGGAGGAGGAGGAGGAGCTGAACCAGGGCGGCAGCCGACCGGAATCCCCCTTCTTTGTATAATGTAATTTGTATTTTTTTTTCATTCTAACTTTTGTAATGTCCGGCCATTAGAGCCGAAGAATATACATCTTTTTGCCCATAATTGCTCCATGTTCATGATTTCCACTTGTTATTTTCCTTCCTTTTGTCCTTCATTGTATGGAA